AAAAAAAAAAAAAAAAAAAAAAAGGTCTGCCACTGAAGGCTTGAAAAAGCCCTAATTCTAAATGTGAGAAAGGTAAACATTTGGAGAATTTTCCACTGTAAACAGTAGCTTTGATTTCATCAACAGTTAAGCAGTTTGTAATTAAATACAGTGCCATTGTGAATCACTGGCATAAACCAGATCCAATAGATTAGCACTGTTGTATAAACTTTACAATGTCTCATTGTTTATCACAAAGCCCCACTGACTCTTTTCTAATATTCTTTAAGCTTAAAAGTGCACACTAAAATGAAAGAGTGGTAACACTAACTTTGAGAAGGATGTGGAAGAACTGGAATTTCCATGCTGCTGGTAGGATTGTAACTTGGGGCAAACATGGGGCAGTGTGTACTATAGATGAATCTATGACTTTTGACCCAACAATCTAACTCATACATGTATACTCAACAGAAACGTCACAGGCATGTACAAGAATCTTAAAAGTGGCACTATTGATAATGGCCCCAAACTGAGAAAAACACCCCAAATGTCTGTAACAACAGAACGGATAAATTAATAGTAATACATTTACATAGTGGAATACTATACAGCAAGGAGAATCAATAAACCCAACAACATGTAACAAATTAGAAGAATCTTGCAAGCATAATATTGAGCAAGTGAAGGCAGATATATGATTGCATTCTATAAAGTTCAGAACAAGGTTCTGCTGGTTCATCTTGGTTGTCAACCAGCCCAGATTAAGAAATGCCTAGCAGCTCAGTACAGCAACCTTCTGGGTTTGTCTGTGGGGGTGTTTCTAGAGATGACTGGCACACAGGACCGCAGATTGAGGGGTGAAAACCTGCTCTGCGTGTGGGTAGCAACTTCCAACAGGCGTACAGCCTAGATGGAATGAAAAGGCGAAGGAGGAGGAAGGCGGTGCCCACTTAAAAGCTTAACTCTGATCGAGCAGGTGCATCTTTTGCTGCTGCCACCACCTGTAGACATCAGACTCCAGCTTCTTCAGCCTTTCAGTATGGGCTCTCTAGGGAGCTTCCAGGCCTCCAGCCTCAGACCAGCACTTCATCCTTGGTCCCTCCTGTTCTACGGCTTCCACCCTCTTGGGCTGAGCAGCTACTGGATCCTCTGGCTCTCCAGTGTACACACGGCAACTATGGACCATCCAGCCTCTGGTTCTATAACTATACTTTATAAATCTCCTTTCTAAATAACATATTCTTTTGATTCAATTCCTCTACAGAACCCTAACCAGTGCAAAGCCAAAATTAACCTACAGTGTCAGAAGTCAGAAAAGTAGTTACCTTGGGAAGGTTAATAACTGGAAGTAGTTTTTAAAAAGGCGGGGACCGGGGTTCAGGGGCACTAGTAACAGTCTGCTTCTTGATTTGGCCGTTGGCTCCACAGGTGAAAATTCTCTGAAATGTACACTTGAATGTGTACTGTACTCTACTTATACTAAATCTTAATAAAATCCTTACATTAAAGTATGCAAATGTAAACAGGTAAAAAGAGAATCCAGAGCCCAGAATTACCCTCTATAAGGACAACAGCGTGCAGAGAATAATTATATAAATTTTATAAGAACAGTAACAATTCTGCTTTTCTCATCATTGAATCCCTAGGGCAAATCCATAGTATGTCTGTCACATAGTAGATGCCCAATAAATATTTATAGAATGATGTTTCATAGTGGAAAAATCTCATGTATAATAATAATACATGTATTGATGGTACACATAGGGTATTCAACAATATATGTAGCAAAATGCCTCTCTTTAGGACAGGTGAATTTGGTATGGTCAAAGCATATGTCTGTATAGTAAATAAGAATTATAAATAGTGTCGACTCTCAAAGAGTTTTTTTTTTCCACCCTATGAATATCTCCTTTCGAAGCTTTGGACTTTAAAATAGTCTGGTACATGGTTTTACATGGCTTAGGTCAAGCAGCATTCAAAACAGTTTCAAAGACTAGAAAAGCAAATCCTTCGACACATACATAAATGAAACCAGAAAGACTGTGACATCAAATGCAACCTGAGACCAAAGATTCACAATCAGTCTAATGCACATGAAGCACACATAAACCAAGGGCAGTGCATGAGGGACATGGGATTCTCTGGGATTAGTAGGTGTGTAAGGCACCATCTGGAAAGAGATTGGTTTTGTCTGATGAAGGCTTCTAAAGTTTCCTCTAAAAAGGTCCAGGGTAAATCCACACAGTATCAGATGGCTCCTCTGTTTCAGCAACATTTAGTTCCCTTTTAGATAAAAGACTCCTATTTGGTTTAAGCATTTTTCCCAATCCCTGCGTCAGTTGCAGAAGCAGTATACCTACCTTCATCATAGAGGTCCTTGGCTTATTTTTTACTGGCATTCTCCCAGAATGTGGACAACAAATCATCTTGAATTGGAAATCAGGAGTCTTTGATGCTAGTAATTTTTACCTGCTGACTAGCGAAACACGTGTCTCCTTCTGGGTTTAGTTCAGTCATCTGAAAATCTTGTGGGGAAACTTGCTAAGGCACAGTTAAATCAATTTCCAGTCTGAAGTTCTATATCAGAAAATTAATGTTTCTTTTTATTCCACACTCTGATTTTTAAATTTCCCTTCTGGTTTCTCAAACTGGAGCCATACGGAAAGGAGGATGTGGTTGGGGTGGGGGAAGGCAGCTAGGGCTATGGGAAACTTGTGGGGAGCCACTGGTTAACTCGCTCTATTCTCACCCTCAACTATCAATCTTGCCCTCCAGGCTGGCCCTTATTCTTTTTTCCTGCCTCCAGCTTTTCAATCTTACCCTTGTTTTCAAAAAATAAGTAATTTACCTCTCTAATAAGACTGCAACTGCCTGGATACTTGCACTCATGCACACACAAACACACATTTTATATCTATTTCATGCATTCATTTGAAAATTTTAAACAGAAACCAAATGACAGACTACAAAGCCACAAATGTATCCTTCTGCCTTACAGGAGATTCACTGAATTCACATTAGTTGTTTACCACAAAATCTATATCCTAAAATAGAATTCTAGTATCCTTTTTGTATTGAAAATTGAATCATCAATGATTTTTTTATTCTTATTTTTATTTTTTTTCCTCATTGAGTTTATTGGTACATTTCAGGTATACAGTACAGTTACATTCATCATTGGGATATTGTACCTTTACATTACAGGTCTTGGTTCTCATTTTTTCCCCTTGTCCCTGCCCTCCCTTTACCCCCTTCTCCCCTCCCCATTTACAAACACTTTATTTCCATTTTTTCATTTTAATTTAACACAACTTGAATAATCAAGTGCCCCAACCCCTAATAAATGTATATCTAGTCTATAATGAGATAGGACTAGCTGGAAGGTATTCCCATGATAGTGTGTGTGTATAATTTTTTAAAAGAAGGCAAACTTTGTTTTCTTAATTTGGTCATCTGTGGTAACTACTGAAGGAGCAAATGCAAGTTATGTTCATTTAATTTAAAGATATAACACCACCCTTGAATGCACTTGGAGAGGACCTGGATTTAATTTTTCTATTTCACACACTGCTGATATTCAAGCACAAAGAAATATCACTGTTAGGTACATTTCCTGTTTTCTGTTGTGTTTTATGTATAGTATTAAAGTCTTAATAGACCCTCAAAGTGGAATGAGAACTTAATTAAATCTTTCTTTTTTCTTTAAAATTTAGCTATCAATGTATCCACTTCCACAAGAGTAAAATAAATTGATCTGTGACAAACTAAAACATAGCTCCTCAAATCTGTTTCACCATGGACAGAACTAATGCTCTGGAATTCCATCAGTGAAATTTTTTCTTTTTCCTTTTTAAATAATTTCTGCAATGGTACTCAAATTCAAAGCTATTCCTTTTTCTTCTTTCTTCCCATTTCATAATCCTCTGTTGAAAGTATTTAGGAAACTTTCCTTTAAAAGGTTTACCCTGTATTTGAAAAGTATAATAGTTTAAAGTTCTATGGATCAAATATCACGCAAAGAAGCCTCTACAATATAATTAACTCTTCACGTAAGGGTAAGTTTTTCTAATCTACAACAAAAGGGGTGCAACTAAGTACAGGAGACCTTT